CTCTCTCTCTCTCTCACTCTCTTTTTCTCAAACACACGCACACACACACACACACACACACTCCTAGAAAGTACACACATGTGCACACACATTAGAGCTACTAATAGATAAGTTTCATTTCTATTTTGTGGAGTAGTAGTTTGTGGTGAACTGGTATTTTACAGGTTGGTCACTTTTCTCTCCTCTCATCTCCAGCCCTTGCCAGGAAGCCAGACAGTTTAGTCACTGTGATTATTACTGTTGCCATATTTTAAGGATGAGAGAAATGCTAAGTGTCTTCCCAAGGTCAAAAATCCATACAGTGTTGGTTTCTGAGCTTAGGTCTCCAGAGAGCAAGATCTTCCCTTCCAGGAGGGCTCTGTCCAGCCCCTCACCCACAGGAAACTTGCTTCTCCAAACATAGAACAAACAGAGAGAAGTGATAAAAACCAACAAAAAATATATTTTATAAGGCTTAGATAACTATGGGGGCCATGGCAGCCCCAACAGGGGATTTTGTGAGGGCTCAGGCCCAAGAGACCTTGATGTAGGGCTCACATCCTGGCATCACCGGGTGGGATGTTGCAGCACTGGCCTGATGGGAAGACAAACACAGAGTCAGGAAATGGGAGCTCTCCCTAATATCCACCCCACTGCTCACAGTCAAGTCCCTCATCTTCTGAAGGCAGAAAAAAGGAGAAAGCTGGCACCACAAGTCATTGCAAGGGCCCTTGGGGGGCACTGGGTGTTACCAACCCCACTGCACTCCTAATACTCCACTCCATCTGATTCATATGGGACTGAGTAATAATTTCCAATTAAAAAAAATTTACTTTTAAACATTAGAAACTACTGGACTAATCTCAGACCTCATTAGTGGCTGAGGAGGGTAAGGGACTGTCCCAGGCTAACCAGCTAGTTAGCAGTGCAGTCTTTTCTCTTTGTCTATGCAGGGACAACTGGGTGTGCTCTAAAGCCCTGTGACCTGGACCCTATATCCTCCAGGTCCATATTCCCACTCCTTAGGCTTCAAGGGCTTCAGCTTAAGGGCCAGCCTGACATCGGGGGCTTCCCCCAAAATATGTGCAACCACAGACTCCCATGTTTCAAAGCTCAACCGATACTCCTTACCTTCTGTAAGGGTGCAGATTTGCCACACCTCGGGAGGGCCTGAGTTGCAGACTTGGGCCCAAGGAAATTTTTTAAGATGTAATGTTGGCCCCCAGGTGGTGCCCTGCTCCACCTGAATGCACAGAGCCTCTGACATGTACCTGGGAAGCAACACACCAAATGCAAGAAGTCACTACCCACCTTGGTCTGGTCTCGCTGAACACTCTCACCCCTCAGCTGGGAAAGCACAGAGCCCAGGGCTCTCATCCAGGAGCCTTATCCAGGCTGCCATTCTTATCTACCACATTTCTTTGGGCAAGAATCTTAAACACCAAGAAAGAATGAAATTCCCAGAAACTCCCAGAGTGCCCTGGAGAAAAGCCCAAAGCAAAGGAACAGGAAGTGTTAAGGCCTGGGAGCTGGGGACAAGGACCAGGGAAATAGACCCAGTGTCATACCATACCACCAGCCCCACTTGAGCCCTTGGATTACCAACTCACTTGGGTCCCAAGGGTGCGCAGAGAATGATGAAACATTTTCTTCTGCAGCCTGCATCATATGGGTTATCATGCTGGAGGGAGATGAGGAAAGGAAGAGCAGCTCAGAAACAGCAGGACTTGGTGAGGCCATCTCTCAGTGACCCTCGCTAAGTTGGTCTGTTAAGCCAGGGCTCAACATGGCAAGGCTCAAAGAGTGACCAGGGCCTCCTGCCTTTCCAGGCTCCAAGGAAGAGTTACCTCCTTCGACGCACTTGTGAGCAGCTCTCCCCAGACAGTGGTGACTCAGCACCCACCTCTCCTGCCTTCTCAGGATTCCTCATCCCCTTGTGCTTCCCTTTGCAGAATCCTTGCTCTGTCTCCATTGGCCACACCTGTCCTCTCACCTCATCCTTCCAGGTACCTTTTAAGATCTTTCTAGTGCTGTTTTGCTCAACTGATCCAAAGATGGTTTCACCACCATGCTCCCAATTTACTCTTTTATCTCAATTTTTTTCTAAAAATCTACTTCATTGAATTTAACTATCTGAGAGACTAGTAGCAGAAGGGAATGCCCAGACATATTTCCCTAATCAAAAAATCAAATTTTCCAGTCAAATATGAGCTGAAGACCTTCAGTACACAAAGCAGGAAAGGTCAAGCTCAAAGGTCATGTCCTTCCCTGGATACTGACTGTCTTCTCCTCTCCCTTATTCTACTTTCTCTTTTCCATGATTTCATCCATCACCCTCGAGCCCTCCTTCTTCCAGACAAAGTGGAGTTTCAATCCAACTTCATGAGCTTTAGGTAGCAAATACTCTGTTATAATGGCAGGTGGGCCAGCAGCACCTCTATCCACTTCTATCCAGCACCTCTATCCAACACTCTTCTCCACTGAAGGAAAGATGATTCCACATCAGAATAGCTCTGGAATATGTCCAAAAAGCAATATGAATCATTGTCCTCTATGATGTTCTACATCCTAAATGGTGTTCACAGCACTTAAGAAATGAATATACCACCAGGTGCAGTGGTGCAAACAGAATCCCAGAGACTTGGGATTCTGAGGCTGAAGGATCGCAAGTTCAACGCCAGCCTCAACAACTTAGCATGGCCCTCAACAATTTAGTGACACTCTATCTCAAAACAAAATATACTAAAGATTAGGGATGCAGCTTTGGTGGTAAAGCACCCCTGGGTTTAATCCCTAGTACCAGAAGAAATGAATTAATATCAGAGTATTAAAAAGTTGCAGAATTTTTAAATTTAGAGAAAGAATGTTGGATTAGATATATATCATGCATAGGAAATATTGGTTGTACATAAGGCATACAAAATGCTTAAGGGAGCCAACATTGCGGCGGGCGGGGAGGCAGCACTTTCAGTACCTCCTCAATAACAGGGGCAGAAAGTCGCATTAATACGTTCAGATTCCACCTGCTAAGAAACTTCTAGAAAAATTCCGCTGAAGTGAGACCTGTTGGTGAATTTGTAGGATTATTAGAGGTGAAGTTTGCCCCAGACGAGTGAATCTCTGCCACGCGGCGTGGAGGTCCATACCCGCCACCCAACGCTGCTGCGCAGGGACCAGCCTCTGGGGCAGTTTAACAGGTGCAGCGCCAAGACCCTGTGAAGAGGTCTTTAACCAAGCCTTCATGAAATAGCAAACCTGGAACCAAAACCAACTGAGACTGGGTCAGACCAGAGACAGGCCAGACCCACCCCTCCCTTTGGATACTCAGGCAAGGAGCCTGGGGCCCG